ATAGTGTGTATCAAACTAGGTTGTGCTGCATAGCCCTTAATTTCAATATAAACAAGTATGTAAGCCTAGATAATATTGTTTTATCTATAGATAAATAATAATAACAGTGCTATTATCTATAAGATATGTCTAAGTTACTTGAACAGAATAATTATATCTTTTCTGTATTCGATATTGTTTTCCATTTCAGCCCTTACAGTACAGTATGGCCCTAAGAATACAGTTTGTGAATATATTCATAATATACAGCTACTTTGAATTTGCCTTACTTATAAGTAACACGTTCAAGTCTCTTTTGTTGGTTTTCTTAATAGTATTTGGGTTTATTTTTAACAACGTTGTTAAGTCATTGTTCATTGTATTATCTGTTATATTGTGGTAAAGCATTGTCATTTATTGAAATAAATTTATGGCATTACATATATCCATGGCAACTAACGCGAAGCAAAACAAACAATAAAACGTTAAGAGTAGGATATAGCCTATATAATAAAACACCCGTGTGCATGTAAACCATCAGGAAAAGTAATTTGAATCTATACTTTCTGGTCTGAAAGGTCATCTTTATTGGAACAAATAGAGGTAAGTCTTTATGAATTCTGTTGCGGTAATTAAATGAGTGTGGAATTAATTATAGTGGTCTCTCAAAAAATTAAAAACGAACTACTGTAGAATACTTAACATTTTAAAAAGTAAAAGATTGAAACTGTCACATATCTTCGTTTGCGAGTGACGGCCTAAGCGGCAGAATATGCACCCATAAATTATCATATAGTTTAAAGAAATTATTCACATGGAAGTCTACAGTGAGCGGATTCAAGCGGAAGGAGACAAGCCGCCGCCCCCTCCCCTCCCCCCCCCTTGAATTTTTCGAAGTTTGGAAAAAAATGAGAAAAAGGGAAATTCAGCTCAAATTGCGAGTTTAAGAGTGCCATTTCCGGTAATCTAGAGGTGCCATAATCATAAAATTTGCTGCCACAAGCCCATCCATGATTGGGGCTGAGGTAGCATAGACCCTTCATCTGTGAAAGTCCCTATGGGCCCCTCTATTTCAAATTCCTGGATCCGCCACTGGTCTACTTGCTCAGAAAACCTCCCGAAATTCATAGAAAACTGAGATAAAAACATTAGGAATCCTATGAAGAGATCATACAATGTTATTCAGAAAACCCTTTCAGTTTATCGTGTTTATGTAGTGAGTGGTGATTTGTGTTTTAACTGTTCTCCAACATTAATATTACAGTTTCCCAAGAGCTCCTCGTCAAGTACATTATGATTAACTTGTTTCACTTCTTTGTAGCCGTTTAGATGGACAGAGTCAGACTAAACCGACTGACAATAAAAATAAAAGGTTTTAAATTGAGTAATACTTAGGTTTAAAGGTTGCTATATTACTCAAAATTGCTTAATGGATTGCAAGGCTTATACGTTACGTTAGGAAAAATGGTTTATATTCTAATTGTATTTAGTTCAAGGCCAAAGAAAGTAATAATCACAGTTAACATGGGCGGGTTTTCAATATTGCGAAATTTACTTAATTTTTGGCAGCATGTAATGTAAAACATAATTACTGTATGCAGTAATTACTGCTGAAAACACATCAATGTTTAACCATGGTTTAACAGTGTATCCAATAACAACCTAATCCATTTTTTAGGAGACATGATCCTTCACAAGGGAAACATATATACAAACAAGATGTAATGCATGAAGTAAATCTAATTATGAGTATCGGGAAGCTATAGGCCTAGTTGGTTTTAGTTGGGAGAAAAAGAATTTGTGACCGTGGGAGGATTTGGACCCTGGACCCTGAATTTGGAAGGCGAGTATTTAAACCATCAAGCACAAGTCTGTAGATGACATACAAACATTTTAACAGGCATGGCGATGAATTTGGAGAAACAACGTGACCAAAAGTTACCAGATAATCTGACTTTAGTAAGTCGGCTAATATTAATATTTAACTTGTTATTAATTGTTATATTTTATATGTTTTTAATTAATATGTACATGTGTATTCATATGCATGCATATATACATTTATATATACATACATAATATATACAGAAGTTTGTGCTACATTACGCACTATAAATACATAATATAATTGTGTAGGTCGTCCAATGACAATTCGGGTCATCTATGTCATCATTATCATCATAATCATCTTCTCTTCATCATCATCATCATCATTATCATCATCATCATCATCATCATGTATATTCTGTTATTAATTATATATCATTTGAATGTTGAAATGTATAAAACAATTATAGCGCTTTGTATCGTATAGGCCTATATATATATATATATATATATGATATAATAAATTATTTATTTATATATTTTGGTATTTATTTATGTTGGGTAAATTGAATTCCTTGATTATTATTTAAAAATCGGTTGATAAAGCATTTCAATTTCAGGCCAGAATGAGATTTCAAAGGGCAGTTCGAATGATCATCATCAATACAAAGATAAGTAGGTACGAACAAGTTTTAAAAAATATTGATCAAAAAATATCCATTTAAATTGATATTTCTGTTCTTTGCATGATTGCTTCAAGTGTTTGGACCCCGGGGGTTGGCGACAACCCCCCCCCCCCAAATACTCAAAGGTTCGCCTCCCACCCAAACTGACCGCCGTTGTCCTGTATGAGCAGTATAAAATACTGTCTCTTATACACATCTAGATGTGTATAACGCCTCCCACCCAAACTGACCGCCGTTGTCCTGTCGTTAAACGAAGTAGCCTGGTAAACAGAAAAAAATATTATTTAATAATTTGAGGTGTACCATAACAATCAATTCCTTATTAATGTAGATGCTATAGTAATACTTTGTGTTGATGCTGTCTGATAGCTTAACTATTATGTTATGATATTCTATGTTTGCAAACAAGAGATTTTTAAAATCAAACTTCTTGCATAAAGCTCCAGTCACGATTCACAATATAACGAGAATTATGATTACATTTAAAAAATTTTCTTTATTGGAAATTGGAAGGCAGTCATAGTTGAATTGTAAAATTGATTAAAATATAATTTTCATTATTATCAAATATGAATTTAAATGGAGTGAATTGTGTTCTTTTTATTATTATTATTATTATTATTATTATTATTATTATTATTATTATTATTATTATTATTTTTCTTCTTCACTGTATAATTTAAATATATTTTCACAGAAAAATAGAAAGGTGTGAAGAAACATCTCACATGTTATCTTTTGAAGTGTTTCACGAAGACCAAGATAATGAAGAATCGAAAATACTGACGTTTAATAAGCATTATTTTACTTCAGAGAAAGAGGTAAATGGTGAAATTGATTTATATAAAATTTGGTTGAAAAAATAAATACTATGATTTATAGTTGTATTAGTGACAAATATTATAAATTTGCATTTTTTAAAAGGCAAAACTTCCACTTCAAGTCAAAAGTATTCTCAGGCGGGACCAGAACGATCGAACACAAGCGGAATTGAAGATCGTACGTAAAACCACGTTTTTATTATTTTGCGATCAGATCGTCGAGTAAGGGGTGGGCCGGGAAGGGATGGGATATTAAACTTGCTGAAAGTTGTAATTTACTGGTTTGTATCGAGATATAAATAATAGTGAAAATTATTGCGTGACATAATTATGTTCGTATGCCTGTGTATTTCATCAATTATACATAAATGGATCAATATCATCGAATGTATTGGCTAAACAGTTGTTCTGCGTTTAATGCGTTTGCTTATTATGAACGTCGAGACACATCCGCTTATTCGTTGTATTTTTCTATGTAAAAACAGGCGTTGAGAGGCTTGCAGAGCTTATCCTCTTTTGCCGAATATCCTCTGCATATGCAAGAGAAACTTGTACGAGTAGCCCATCTATTTACGTACGTTTCAATTTATTTGTCAATTTGTCATGAGTACGGAGTATGTTAAAGCATAATACGGCTTGTAAGGAAAGCACTATACTGTACTAACCATTGGAAAGCTCTGGCGTGATGTTACGTGTTCGGCCCGTTAAATCCGTGGCGTGTTAAGCAGTAGTGTGTGATTGGGGATGGGGTGATGAGAAGGACTCTAGATAATTTAATTTGTTATAATCAACTTTGTGTATTTTTTTTGCTCAACAGCTTTTCAGTGGGGGTTGGGTCGCTAGGGGCTCCCTCCAATATTCCCTAGATACGCCACTGCATCGGACCCAGCTTTGAATCTTGCATACTGTCATTGCCATTTGTAACGTCTCTAAACCTATACATTCATACAGCCATCAACATTATCAATAACACTTCTAGTCTCTTGACATCGAATGTCGACCCGCTGCTTGACCCATTAAATATATTTACCATATTTATTTATTTATTCTTTATTAATATACTAATGTATTTCCATCCACTTGTTATTGACATCACAGGTTATCGTACAAGTGCTCGATATTGGATACCAAATAATCCTATTTATAAAGTAACGTGCCATTTTAACCATGCGTTTTATAGTTATTTTTGCAATAATGCGCTAATTTCATCATTTTAATATGCCCCTTTTATGAGCAGTATAAAATATGCATAATTAATAGAACAATAAGTGTTTTGCTATTTCAGACTGGCAGCCAATCGAGTTATAATACGGCAGGGACATAGAGCTGAACAATTTTATTTTCTTATACATGGAACAGGTAAGTATTATGGCTATAACATAGGAGTCCTTTACAGAACTGCACATCTATGTTATCTATGTAAGTTCCGATTATTCGTCGTTTTGGTTTTAATAATGTTTTTGAACCATCACCATATATGAATTTAAATAAGGAAGAAATGTCTGTTAAGGTTTGCCGCCTTGGTGCCTGCACAAACTGTAGGAAATAATGTCATGTAGTTAGATAGTGCTTTACACCAAAACGGTCTCAAAGCGCTCGAGGTGTTAACTGGCTCTTACAGTAACCTGCTTCTCCCCTAAGGGTCTTTTTGTGTCTGAGCTACCCAATAAACCGGTACCAACTACTCCCATCTGACAGCAGGGGCTATATGGCCACTAGGCCTACACCGGGGTAACACTCTACTCGTCTCGAAAGATGTGCTGGGTTCTTTGAAGTGCACATGAGCCAAATTATGTACACTACACTTCCATCTTTTTAGACCATTTTTCATTCATAGTATTTTTTTTTTTTGAGTTCCTATTCATGATAAGAGATACATTTCATCACTAATTTACTCTTGATCTGCCTTTACCCTACAGCAATAGAAACTAACACGGAGAGGCAACCTGGAACGGAAAATGAACGCACACGTATTCATCGATTTCTTCGCAAAGGTGACTGTTT